ACTGTTCATTTGTTTCATCTTTCGCACAACAGTCCAAAGTACTTGTTAAAAGTTCCTGCTTTATCTTCTGGATTTCTGTTTCGAAAGTATATGAAGAAGGAATGAAGCTTTTCATCTCTACTAACATTGAAGTTGGGTTCATGACTAACGAGTTTGGTGCTGTTGTTGCTAACATGTTCTTACAATAAAAATAAAAAATATTTTTTTAAAAAAACTAACTTTATTTTTTATTTCGGGAAAATTCATGAGTTTTGGTTGAAAAATACGGTGGAGCCAAAAGTGGCTCGACCTCAAAACAAGCATTTTGTGAAGAATATACCAACCGCCGGAATGTCGACGGTTGCTTTTTATACAAAATTCAACGGGTGAGAAAAGAGGTGAAAAAAGAGGTGAAATCTCACCTCTTCACCTAAAATATATTTTTGCCGAATTCAATAAAAAGAAATGGTTCATTTACTCACAATATTTTTGTACAAAACGACCCCAAACTTTTAACTTCTTTTCTGCAGCTTCTAATGCTATCTTAGCGAGTTCATATTCTCTAAATTCTCTCTTTAAATCTTCTTGTTCCCATTGGTCTAGTTCGTATGGAGAATCTCTATAACCAGAACATATCTCACGTTCATGTTCTATTTGTTTTTCATGCATTTTTCTAACTTCTTGTTCGAACAAAGGTTTTGCATTCTCTACTGTATCTTCAAGTTCTTCTTCATCTAATTTCTCATGAACTTTCTTGTCTATGGAGTCCAGAATTTTTCCAACTGCTATACAATATTTTGGAGAAGCCCACATTGCTATATAGTTTACGAGTCTTGGGTCTACATACATTCCTCTAACCTGTTTGATTTCATCCGGAATTCCTGCATGAACTTTGTATAAAAAGCAACCCGCCGTTTTCCGCGGGTTGGTATATTCTTCACAAAATGCCGTATAATACTCTTCCCAGGACTTATTTTCCAACAACCTTCTAAAGTCTTTCCCAAACTGCTGACACATATTTGTTGCATTTATATAACCATCCTTGTCTCTACGTAAGACTTCAATACCATTGTAAGTGCCTTTTGTGAATGTTTCGCCATTAGATTTGTTCGTGAACGTTTTTGCTTCGACTGTCATACTGTTCTTACAATAAAAATAAAAAATATTTTTGGCTTAACCGTCGGACATTCGTTTGTGGCTTAACCGTCGGACCACAACGATAAAAATCTCATTTTAACTCACTTTTTTTCTATCTTAAGGAAATTCATGAAAATTCATGAGGGTGAAAAAACAGGTGAAAAAAGAGGTGAAATCTCACCTCTTCACCTAAAATATATTTTTCAATACTTTTTCAGCACTTCTCCGTAGTTATATATGAAAGACAATTCGAGATAAAAGTCGTAGTACAATGGAACAATATGTTGCACACCATTTGTTGTGAACCAAACTTGAAAGTCAGAGAAACTGTTACTCGGTGGTTCGTAGAATTTAGAAGCAAAGTCATAAAAGTCCTTACCAATACAAAGAAAACTATTGTTGCTTGAACTGAAACTTGCATGACACATGACATTTTGAGGGTCAAACACGTTTCTATAAACTGTCAAATCTGTTGGTGGGCGTATAAACCAGAACGGACCGTCAGGTGGTAATGGTTCGTTCTGGTTTAGTAACCGAAGAAATTGTGCCCAAGAACGTTTGTCTACTTGCCAAAATAAAAACTGTGTATCTCTTGGAGGGTTATTTTCAATCCTTTGAAATGAAACTGTGGAGTTCATCTTGTCATATTCTAGTTTCAGATAGTATGTTCCATTTAGTAAAGAGTCGTATTTTTTCTTGAAATTCCCAATAATATTTGTTTATTTGAGTTGAAAGTCATTTAGAGTCTTCTCAAGACTTTCGTCTGAACGAACCGTAAAGATTCTCATTTCGTCAAATTTGTCTAGTAGACCGTCAGAACCTCTATACTGACCGTGAAAATATACTGCAAACATAAACGCGTTAGTTCTTTTTGAAAACAAAACTCTTCTAAATCCTATTGCCTTTGCATCTGAAGGACTTTGAAGCCAACGAATTGGAAAGTCAAAGCGGTAGGAGCCGGATGAAATTTCTTCATCTGATATAGTCCTACCGGCATTTGTGAAGATATAGTCTAACGGTTTTGTATCTGCTACTTTTGTTCTTTGTTTTTCAACCTGAAACATTTAATATATGTAAAAAATATACTGTTTTAAAAAATGTTTTAAAATGGTATGCCATATAGCTTCTTGAATTTGTTGAGAAATATATGAACGTGTTTTCCATCTGTATCTCTAGTGTTTACATAAGCATAGCCCGCCTTAGTAAAACATACTTGTAATTTTCTATAGTTTACGCCGGTATAAAGGTAGAAAGAGTCCTGTTCTTCGCTATAGTAGTAAAACTCAAACGTATGCTTACCATAGTCTGTAATTTCAATTGCTTCATCTTCTAGTTCGTCGACAAATTCGAATACAATATCTCTAAATTTGCCTATGTTCTTACTGTTTTCAGAACAAGTGACCCAGCGTAAGTTTTCAAGTCTATTGTCGTTTCTTATATGGTTTATGTGGTCTACAAAAGGTAGATTGTTAGGATTCGGTATAAAATGAGTTGCAATGACAACATGTTTAAAATAGTGTTTTCCACCAATCCTCATCCTAGCATATCCGTCATTTTGCTCCCATTCGCTTAAAACTCTTTTTGTCTTTTTGTTTCTGACTTCAAATGACTCACAACAGTGAATTTCATATTTCTCATCTAACAAACAAGTTTCCCAACGGTCTTCTCCAACAAACTCAGCGTACATTTTTATAAAAATAAAAAAATATATTTTTTGAAAAAATGTTTTTTCCTTTACTTAACATAACCACCAGCTACCATAAGTCTTTGACGCCAACCCATACCAGCTAATGAAGGTTGACTTGGTTTAGTCTGGAGACTAAACTTTGGTTTTGGTTTATCTTCAGTTTTTGGCTCACCTTCTTCTATTGGTTTTTCGTCACTTTTTGGTTCCTCTGACTTTACCTCACTTGCAGGTATGGTTGTGTTGTCAACATCTTCGTAAATATCATATGCCATCTGTTTTTGTTTTCCTTTCAACTTTTTGTGTTTGTTGTAAAGTTTAGAATATTTTGACTCTAAGTCAATGAGATGTTCTATAATGAACTGTTCGTCAGTGAAGTAAACTTTTCCATCTGTTGTCTCGAAAGCTCCTTCAGACTTCAATATTTTATTTGTGAGAGTCTGTTTCTTTTTTGAGATACTAGCCGTTCCATTTCTATGAAAAGTGACTTTGTAGTTAGGGTTTGTATTTCCAGACCTGGCACTTTCTATTATTGAATTTTTCTCTTCATCTGTAAGTTCTTTGACAGGTTTTGACAATGGTTCTGAACTTTTTGTTTGTGGTGTCAAATCTACCGTTTCAACTTCTTCGGTCATTTCATCTCAGTAAAAAATTTTAGTTTGGTTTGTTTTCAACTGGTTGTTGTTGTTTTTTAAGTCGGTCTAAAACTTCCTGAGGTATAGGAAGAACTTGACAAACACGTTGTGTAACTGCTGGAAGTCGACAAATCCATCTTGAACCCATTTGTCTCAATGCTGTATTGTTCATTTCATCTCAGTAAAAAACTTTACATTCCCCAAGTTTGAGGTGGTTGCGGTTGGTTATTGTTTACCCACTGTTGTGCATGGTTATATCCTCTGTTAAAGAATCTTTCACCTTGGTCCATATAGTGTCCTGCTTGGTTATAGTAGTCATTTGCTTTGTTATAATAGTTTCCTGCTTGTCTCCTACATTGTCCATCCATCCTTGAACTCTTTTCCTCTTGTTTCAGGATTTGGAATAAGATTTGCTGCATCTCGTGCTACCTCCCAACCTTTCTGTACAGTTTGTATAATAGGTTGTGCTTTCTCTTTCAGTATACCTAATGTACTCAAAATCTTCCTTCCAATTCCAAATGCACCTCTGGCTAGTGTTCCCACTGCGGGTAAAAATCTAGATGCAACTCCTGCTAACGCGCCAAATAAACCCATTTCTTATAGGATAAAAATGACGAATTCAAACAAGGACCCCTATGTTTCTAAGGCAACAAAGAAAGCACTCATGGTAAAAATCTTTAGTTCAACACCAAATGCTTGGTTTATGGATATCTTGGAAAACATTCCGAGGTATAGAGAAGATGGACCACCATACTGGCTAATATTTGTTGGTCAAAACACAAGATACTGTGAAGCCATACCATTACAGTCCAAAAATATTTTAGATGTGAAAACTGCTTTGACAATATTCGTTGACAAATACCATCCAACAAAACTGACATCTGACTGTGAAAGTTCTTTCAAATCAGACGATATTAAAAACTATCTGCGTTCAAAAAATGTAAACCAATATTTCATTGTCGACCAAAACCATTCTGCTCTTGGTGTCATTGACAGTTGTATAAAAATCTTAAGAGACTTAAATCAACCACAAGGTGGTGAGGTAGATGAAATGTCATATGACGACAAATATAGACACTTCTCCATGGCAAAGATGAGACAAGTTTTAAATATTTACAATAACCGTAAACAAAAAGGTTTGGGAAACCACTCCCCGAAGAAATGAAAAACAACCCTGACTTAGAGAAAGACTATATATTTAATAGTTTAGTCAAAAGAGACAAACAAGAAAGAATGCCAGGCTTCAAACTTAAGAAAGGTGACAAAGTAAAAATAGAAATACCTAAACGCGACCCATATGAAAATACTATTGACTATGACAACAATGGGAACTCGACAGGTACTCACATTCGTGTTCGTAAAAATAGAAGAAAGTATACAAGAGAATATTATGAAGTTTTAGGCAAACATGGCAAAATGTACAGACTGCAAGCAGAAGATAAAACTACTATTGTCAGACCTCGTTTCAAACTTGTCAAAGTTCAAGGTGGTATACTTTCAAAAACAGTTCCTAACAAATATAAGACAACTCCTGACGAATATGCTAAAGAAGTTGAAAATGACGACTAAGCAATTCTATACCATGCGTAAACTGTCATGTAAGGTGGCATGTAGTCTTTACTTTGTCCCGTTGTTTGTGTATATCCTGAAACGCGATGTGTATGGTTTCCTCCTACCTCAGTGTTACTCCAGTAACAATTTATAGCAAACTTAACGTCCTCTTTAACATCATATCCTTTACCTTTTGTCATTCCTGACCAATCCCAAAATCTATGACTATGCAAACCTGCTTCAGATGTACTTAAATTTATGTAGTGACTGTGCGCAGGTAAATTTGCACCTGAAATCGTTTTACTTCCGCCTGTTTCCTTTGAAGAGTTTGCACAATACAAAAACCTGTCGACTATTTGAGTCCAAGTTCCAAAACCAAGTACTACTTCTGGTTTGGTAGAGTTCATTGACGTGTAAATAGAACCTATAGGATATAGTGTTTGAAGTATTTCTGTCTTTAACGTTTGAAGCTCTGTTTTGTCAGCTTTCTTATCTAACTCATCGTTAACATATGTTTTGTCAGCTTTCTTATCTAACTCATCGTTAACATATGTTTTGTCAGCTTTGTTGTCATATAAATCTTGAGCAGTGAATTTAACTTTGTTTTCATCCTCCATGACATAGACATTTCTACATCTAATGTATTTCATCGTCGTTATGTCATCCTCCGATGTTAAACCTTGTGGAAAGTTAGGAGGTTTCCAATTTAATACATCCCCAGTTTCTTCAACCGTTCCTTCAATATTTTCTATACCAACAGTTGCGAAGAAATCGTGTGTATGTCCAACGTCACTTTTCTTGTTTAAGGTTTCTTGTAAGTTTGTAATATTTGCAATGGTATGTGTATGAGTCTTTTTAGAATATTCTTTGTCAGCTCTTGTCACTTCACTTGACATTTTATTGTCAACATATGTTTTATCCGCTTTGTCATCTAACATTTCTTGAAGTTCATCTACGTCATAGATGTTATGTGTATGATGTTTTTGTGGGTATGTTCTATCTGTCCATGCGAGAATATAGTCTCTTGTTGCATCTACATACTCTTTGTCAGCTTTGTTGTCAATATCTGCTTTCAAAAGAAGTTCATCTATAGGTTTCTCGTTTAAAGTTCTTTTTGTTGGATTTATACAAACAGTATGGTTCTTACTGTCTTGAAACAGAAACTCGTCTGTCATTGGGTTTATCGTCAGTTTTAAGTTTCCTTCTTTCAATGACTCAGATATCTTAGAATAGTTTGAAAAGTTTGTTGTGTTCTTATTTAGAGCTTGCAAAATGAGTTGTCGGTTGTGTTGTATTTCTCTCATAGACGCTGTTTCTTTCGACATTTTTATTCTAGATAAAATATGCTTTCAATAGAAAAAGAAAATTCAAGAGTTGCTACAACTAAACCATTAGATGAACTTTTTACGAATGTCGGTCAAAAGTTTGAGACAGAGACCGTAAAGCATGAAGGCTATCGTTTTGACTACCCGTTAAGATGGTTAAGAGACCCATCCGTCACAAAAGCTATTGGCTTTCGTAGAATGAAGTTCATTTCAGAAGCCATACATGGTTTCCCATTTACGGTCGCTTTTGAAATTCGATACTATAACAAAGAAAAACGTACGTATGAGAAATTTGAACAGGGAAAACTTTTACAAGTGAATTTGCTTGTAAACTTAGAAACAACTCTTCAAGCTTTTCAAGAAAAAATAAACGATATCTATATCGAATATGCAAACCAGTTTAACATTGACGAAGGAGAGTACCATCTCGATATTTTATATGACAGGAAAAATGCAACTGTTAAAATCAATAGAATAGAAGACCTTGGAGAAAACGTTTATATTTCTACAAAATATAACAACTTGGCATGGTATAGATTTTTGAGGATGTTAAATCAGCCTGCAGCATATCCAGTACACCCAGACTTTTATGAAGTCGAAAACCCTAATGGAACATATGAAAATGTTTTCGACTCAGATGCTATTATAGTTCATGCTTCATTTTCTGGCGCACAAAACTCTTTTTTATGCTTGGCAAATGACTTTTACGAAAAACCTACAAAGCTATATGAACCGCCGAGTGGAAGTATTTCAGACTTTCAAGTATGGTTTACTACAGATGGAAGAAAGAGAATAATTCCATTATACCACGCGTTTTACTTAGAACTTAGTCTCATATACAACTACTATCGAACGGTAAAAATATAATTTTAATACGGTTGAGGTGTTGGATTTGGTTGCCAACTAGACTGTGGTGCAGGTTCAGGCTGTTGTATAACAGGAGCTTGTTCTTCTGGTTCAGGGTCTTTAGGTATAATACCAACGAACTGACCTACTCTTTTACCAATATTTTTGACACCGTTCCAAATTCCTCTTCCGACAGATTTTATTCCATTCCATATACCTCTTCCAACATTTCGAAAGAAGTTTCCTATCTTACTGAAGAAACCCATTTTACTATATGTAAAAATCTAATGTCCGCCTAGTCTCCTACGTTTCCTGTTGAGTTCCATTGCATTCTTTAACTGGAGCTCATACATTCTGTTTCTCCTCTGGTAGAAAACATACTCTGGGTCAACTCCTGTGTTCGCGTCATCTGCATAAAGTTGTTTATATCCCACTTCAGGGTTTGTATAAAACTCTTTCCATCTCATATTTGCATACCATGGTGGTAAGCCTAACGCAGCGTCATTTGACATGGCAGTTTGCATTTGTACATCTGTTGGCACTTGACCATAGTTTGCCATTGCAGTTTGTATTCTAACTTCATTTGGAATATTCTCTGGGTTTGGTTGTCCAGGTTGCTGTGCATTCGCTAAGTTCTGTGCGTCCATTTAATATTAGATAAAAATATCTCTTACGAGTACATATACTGAACATTTGCAGGCATTGGTTCATCTTCATATTCTCTGTACTTTTCTGCCACGTCAAATAAGTAAATGACACAATGGAAAAAACCTAAAACAAGTAGTCCTATTTCAAACCACATTTACTTACTAGTAAAATTTCTTTGTTATGACTTCTTCGTAAAGACTTTGTTGAGATTTCTTCGTAAAGACTTTGTTGAGATTTCTTCGTAAAGACTTTGTTGAGATTTCATCGTAAATGACCCAAAAATATATTTTAGGTGAAGAGGTGAGATTTCACCTCTTTTTTCACCTCATTTCTCACCTCTTGAATTTTCATGAATTTCTTCGTAAAGACTTTGTTAAGACTTCTTCATCTAATTTCTCATGAACTTTCTTGTCTATGTTTTGTTGAGATTTCTTCGTAAAGACTTTGTTGAGATTTCTTCGTAAAGACTTTGTTGAGATTTCTTCGTAAATGACCCTAGTAGTATATTTTTGGTGTAAATTTCATGAAAATTCAAGAGGGTGAGAAAAGAGGTGAAAAAACAGGTGAGATTTCACCTCTTCACCTAAACATTATTTTTGGTGTAAAATTCTGAGTAAAATGACAGATGGAACACATACTTTTTCAGTAAGTACATATGGGGTAGAAAAGAGGGTAGAAAACGGGGTAGATATACCCTTCTACCCTAAAATATATTTTTGTCTGATTTACGCTCATTACGATGAAATCTTGACAAAGTCTTTACGATGAAATCTTGACAAAGTCTTTACGATGAAATTCATGAAAATTCAAGAGGTGAAAAATGAGGTGAAAAAACAGGTGAAATCTCACCTCTTCACCTAAAATATATTTTTATTGAATTCTGTATAATATTCTGAGTAATATGACAGATGTTTATATAACACTTTCTCCGGTTTATAGGACCTCTCTCATATTCTATCTTGTCATATCAAAACTCATAGTCATGTTTGTCCTCTAAGACTTCATTTATACTAAACATCTTCGGGGCTAGAGGGCACGAAGTGCCTGGAAGCCCCACTGCCTTTTTTTTTTTTTTTTTTTTTTTTTTATATTTCATATTTTTATCGATTTTTAAAGTTTTTGCGAAAAGTATTCAATTATTTTTGCTATTTGGTCGGGTAAATGTCAGATTTGCGACATTTTCTGATATGATATTCAGATTCTACGTTGATAATAATGCTTATAGAACCCTCTTGCTATTGTGTCAAAATTGCGAAACCGATAGCAAAAATATCTCGCAATATCAAAATTGAGATATTGGGTGAATTATGCATTATAGAGATTCAAAATCTGATTTGTGAAAACATCTCATCAGTTTCTAGCTAATTCAAAAATCTTTACTATCTTATTCGATTAAAATGAAAAGGGAATAGTTTCATTATGCTTTAAATGACAGCCTTATAATATAATCATAGTTTTCGCTCAATATGCAGCATTTTTTTTTCGAAATCTATGGTCAATATCCTAAATACTGATTGCTTTGCATTCATATCTCTTACATTTTCTATACCCACATCACTATTCATTGCTATTCCTATCTTTTTCATTTTTGTTTGTTTCTCATAATTTCTCAAAAAACATGATAACTTGATATTTGTAAATATCATACTTTATAACGTAAATAAGAACTTGACCTATTAAGAAAAGCAGTAATGAAAAGAAAATCTGAAATTCATAGTAGTATATGAGTGCGGGTTGTGTGACCTTTTTTGTAATCGTAAGAATTCTCACATAATTGAATGATTTTTGAACATACTTCTGAATAGCAGATTTTAAAAATTTATGAATAATTTATAAAAAGTTTTTATTCCTACAATTCCTATATTACCATTAATAAAAAGAATATATTTTTGCATAGATTCCAAATATGGTGTCAATTTTTTTAAAAAATCTTGAATTCAATGAGTTATATCAAAAATAAAATTCTTGAATAGAGTAAAAAAATTTAAATAATTTATTTAAATATTTTCTTCTGACATTTATGAATAATTTATTTTTTTAATTCGTAAGAAAATGAGTGGATCAAGATTCGTAACCGTCAATCAATTAATGGATGCTCTTTCACCAATTCTTGAAAATGTTAAACAAGTAGATGTTTATTTCGATGATTATGTAGAAAGTTTATATTATAAAGGTAAGTTTAATATTAAACCCATTGCTTTTGCATTTGATAATAAATTAATTGAAAATGCAAAAATTTGGGAATTAATTCCAGATATTGAATTTATAACAAATATTAAGGATAAATGGTTCAAACGAATTCCAACCACAAAAGTTCTTTGTAAATTAATGATCAAAACTGAGGAAAAAGAATTTCATGAATTTACATATCATCCATGTAAAATTTTAGAACTTGGTAACGAAAAACTTCAGAAAAAATTAAACGATAGACTTTCAAATGATCGTATTGAAAAAATAAATAAACTAGCAGAAGTTGCATTTAATAATGAAATATTTGATGAATATAACCTTGAACTCAGTGATGAACTTTAAGTCTTGGACTTTAAGGACCCGGGCTCAACGAGTCATGATTTATGAAATCAATTATTTGATTCATTCTTTCTTCAATAATTTCTATTCTTTTTGTTAAATCATCAATTTTCATTAATGAGGTGATTCTTGATTGAGGAATAGATTTTAAACTAACAACACCTTTTATTTTTGAAATTTTGAATCCATCAACTTTAAACATTTTATTCAATTTACATGTTGTCAATTCTTCAAATAATTTTTTATTATTAGCATAATAGTCATTAAATTCTTCAACAGATGAAAAAATTTTTGTTTCAGTAATGGGTTTAACAATGTTTATTTTTTGTTGAACATTTACACTTTCATTTATTTCCTCCTCTGTTTCATTTATTTTTAAAATCGGTTTCATTTATCATTAAATAAAAATTAGAATATAAGTGATGAAATATATTTTTTAATTAATATTAAATCAGAAATGGCTGCAGGATTCTTTAAAAAGTTATGGGAAGGAATTAAGAAAGCTGCAAGTTGGGTTCATCAGAAAATAATAAAACCCATTGCAAACTTTTTGGCACCAGTAGCGAAAACGGCAGGAACTATCATAGGTGGAGTATTAGGTGCTAAAGCAGGTAATCCAGCGATGGGAGCACAAGCAGGTAACGCAGTTGGTGGAATTGCTGAAGGAATACTTAATAAAATAGGAGGAAAGTAGTGGAAAAATAAATATTATTTTTATCTCAATATCGGTTGTAGTCGACGATAAACTTTATCTCCTTTATTTAATACTTCCCTTACTGGAACATTAGGTGCTATTTGTTCTGCAACGTCACTAATTGCTTCTTTATTCTTAAATATCCAATTTGCTCCCTTCTTCATTGTTTCCCAAACTTTATGCGCTCCTCTTTTTACTTTATCCCATAACTTTTTAAAGAATCCTGCAGCCATAGTTGATTATTTCATTAAAATTAAAAATTCATTTTCATCTTTTAATTTTGATTTTTTTATTTCATCATAAATGACGACTAACTATTTGGTGCCAAACACTAAACCGATTAATGGAAATGTATTTCATTCATTCGAAAAGATAAATGAAATATTCGCAAAGAATGACGGTAGAAGATATTATAGAGAACTTGAAAGTTCATGCTATGACTCTGATACTCCATATTTTGATGATAAACAAACTCATTTAAGAATTACAAATCCGGCTCATGATGTGAACCAATTAGGTGACACATATATTAAACGCAAAGTTAAAGCAACTCTAGTTTCAAATAAAGCTTTCACATGTGATGCCGCTTTTAAATGCATGCGTTTATTCGTTGGTTACAAATCATCAAATCAAAGCTTTAAACAATTAGAAGTAGAAACCGAAAGAGGTGATGCCGGTTATCTTCAGATGGATTGCGCCCGTGAATCTTTCGCATTTGCAACATATAAACCAAAATCAGAAAGGAAAGTTAAAAAGTTTGTTCATTCGTTATATAATAATGTTCAAAAATATGATAACTCAGTATGTGGTAAATATATTGACCCTTCAGAAGTTTTCAAGAAAGCAAATGAAGAAGTTGATGTCACTTTTGATATGATTATTCCGGTAAATGATTTGTTAGCATTTCAGGCGTTCGATGATTATCCCAAATCATTTGGTGAAATCATTTTGAAATATTATGTTTTCAGGGATACTTTGGTATTTTGCCAGGTTGACCCGTTAAGAGTTGCTGATTTACAAAATTACGTTTATGAAAAGATAACTGATGAAAATTATGAAAAGATTATGAATCATGTTTATAAATATGATCGCAAATTCCAACAAATCGGACTTCCTGCAAAATTAATTACAAGCTTAGCCGCTACATCTGCTGACGCAACAGTTGAAGACGTTATTATTTCATGCACAAAGATGGAAGTTTTAGAGGATAAATGCATTACACCAGGATACGGTTTAATTGAAGAATCATTAAAGCAATACCACGTTTATTCAGTAAGGAAGATCCATTCATGATTCCAGCTCAACATATTGACGTTCGTTCACTAAATGGAGGTTGCATCACTCCTGAAGGTATCAGCTCTGATTTCTCATACGCTCTTCATAATGTTACAGATGTTGTGTTAACATTTCCGAAGAATGCAATGCAAAGAACGGTTTTAGAAAATCCAATGCTTCGAGGTCTTCAGGTCACTATAGATTCCAGAAACTTCCCCGATCAAGCGATGACCACAATGGGTGACATATTCTTTACACGTATGCTTCAAGCTTCAGATTTAGATGGAGTGAATGAATGCACAGAAGAATACGAGGACTCATTAACTAGACCACTGAATGCAGATGATGGCACACCATTAGCTAGAACATGGAAAGACCAAACTTCATTCTTATGCACTATTCCAGTTCAACGTGATGGAGCGGGTATATTCTTTGATGGATTAGAAACTTTCAACTCACAAGTTACAGTACAAGTGAAAGCTTATCCAATCATTCAGGGTGAAAATGACACTTACTGTTCAAAGGTGACAAATCCTCCTCAGGTTTGGTTTACTAGGACTACATATTGGACATGGACACCGGATGAAGGTTTGAAATATCATCCAACAGGTACACCACCACAGTATAGAAGTTCATATGATGAAATATTGATGAATAGAAATGTATAAAATTATAAATTTATTTTTGATTAAATGGATTTCAATTCTGAAGAATTAGCAGGAGTATATAATACCTACATAGATGATATGATTAATGAAGCATTGAGTGATAATAGAAATGCTCTATCTAAGGAAAAATTAATGAAAATTCCATATTCTGAATGTTACTTAAATTCAATCACTGCAGCAATTGGTAAACAAAATAAAGGTAAAACATTAACGATATTAAAACAAATTATCATTATTGCTAACACTTCACCTTATTCTCATGTGTTAATTTATATCAACCGTTCTGGTTCACCTTCAGATGATACATTTGAATCATTAAAGCATTTAATAAAAATTCCAATTATTTATTTATCACAAGAAGAAGCGGAAGATTATTTAAAAAACTTTTTAATGTATAAAGAGTTATATAATACAATCAAGAAGCAAGGATTAGAGGATAAAATTATTGATAAACAAAGGGATGAATTATTTGAAACACTTTCTATTTCAAATTTTGATAAAGAATTTTTGCATTCACTAATTTTTCTAGATGATGCCGTGAAATCAAAACTAATAACTAATGAGAAATCATATTTTAATCAATTATTAACTCAATGTCGACACATTCAGTGTTCATTCTTTATGGCTGTTCAATACTTTAAAGCATTAAGCACAAACATTAAATCAAACCTGTCCACCCTTTTCATTTTCAGTGGTTTTAGTCGTCAACAGTTGAACGTTATGCTTTATCAAGTGAATTTACCAATGAGCATTAATGAACTTTACACACAATATCAGCAATTAGGTGAACATGGAAAAATAATAGTTGATTTAAATAAAGGTTCCATTAAATTCGAATAACTTTTTTATAATTAATTTTTATTTTTTATTTATAATTAAACATGACAGAAATTGCAAATCTTCTACAGGTTCCATTAAAACAAGGAACAAACAAAAAGGGTGCATATAATAGAACTATGAAAGTTCCAGACGGAATGAAAGAATTAGTCCACATTGTTGCCGGTCTTCAAAAGGATGTTAAACAAATGAGAAACGTTTTAACATTACCAGAAGCTCAAGCATATGCCAAACGTCATGGACCAAATTGGGAAGCACATGAAGCAGACATTACAGGACCAAATGGAAAGCCTGATGGAATAAATGAAGTCTTTGTTACTGATGGTCAAGGAAATATTAAAGTCATAAATGGGTATAAATTAACAATGACGGATTATCCTAAACGTAAAGCATATAATGAACGTTATCCTATGCAATTTGATGAAAATGGAAAAGCTGTTAAACAATACATTGGAGAAGGTGAACATGGTCCAATTATTCATACCGTCATAATCCATATTCTTATTTCAATGAAGAATTAAATGCTATTGAAGAGGGACCGGATGGATTACCACGATATGTTAATCAGTTTGATGGTCAATATGCAAATTTGAGACCTGAAATTCCAGCTAAGAAATTCTTTAAAGTTGCTTTATTCGATCCAGTGTTCAATGAACAGAAAGAAGCAATGAAAGCAGAATTTAAACCAATTCAAGTGGCAAGAATTTCTTCATCTTCACTTTCAGAAGCGTTCAAGGAATTGATAAAGAAACCACTTTATTCTCAACAAGGTTATAACTTTGATTTAATTAAAGAAAGTGATAGACGTAAATTAGAAAAATCGGATGGTTTTAAGAATGCATGTAATGAAATGATTAAAGATATTGTAAATGATAAAATAAGACTGGAAGAAACTCAAACCATTATCAATAACATAATTGGTGCAGTTACAAAGAAAGTATAAGCAAACAAGGATGAACCTTGGGATATTACCGTAACAACTAAATAAAACTTTAAATATATTTTTCTTTTTTTTATTCAATTATAAATGAGAAGACGTTTCACAAGTCAAAAGAACACAAACGCAAAAGCAGAGATTACGGTTGGTTATAATGTAAATGATGATAAATCACGAATTATTCAAAATGTTAAAGTTAATGTTAGTCCTGAATTAACAAGGTCAGCAACTCAACCAAATTTATTAACTCGTGACTTACCAAAGAAAGAGGAGGAGGAGCAAAATAAAGAAGATGAACCCGGTAAAGAACCTGTTGAAATTCCCACTTATCCAACATACCCAGCACCACTTGATAACCCATATAAAATAGACATTAATTCTGAATTAATGAAAATATATCGCGATATCATAACTGATAATTATGATTCAATAATAAATTTAATTGACCAATCCGGTTTAATTATTTTACCTTATGAATCATTAATTCACATTATCGCCATTCTTTGTGATGTTCAAGATTCAGACGTGAAGATTCAATTTTTCATAGATGATGAGGTTTCATGCTGCGGAACAGTTGCAAAAATAAATCCTATAAAGGATATTAGCACAATTAAGATATCAAAGAACGGAACAACAACTGAACTTCATTTAACTTATAATGATATTTATAATAAAATAGTTGATGAATATAAAATATCACTTGAAAAATTCTTTGTTAAGGCTATTTAATATTCAAGCATTAACATTATCGAATAATAATCCTTTGAATCATAATCAATAATAATTGACCTTTCACCAGTTTCTATCGTTTGTTTTATTTCTTTTTGTTCCCCACTATCCGGATCAGTCATTGTAATTGTTTTTGTTATAGTATCTGCTTTATCTTTAACTTCAATCTTTTTTCCATCGGGATATTTAAACCAAAATTCCAAAAATTCGATATTGTCAATCTGTTCATATTTTAATCTATCAATTACATTTTTAATACCATCTGAAAATCTTATGAAATGGTCATTATATGGGTTTGATTGAACTAAATTTGAATGAGGTGAAATATAACCTGATGATGAATATGACATCGACTCATATTTTCTGAAAACACTTAAATTGATTCTTAAACGTTGAACTTCTTCATCTTTATTTGATTTCACGACATTGCAATAACAACACATTAACTGACAATTTTCTTTAGTATGTGGTTTTTCATTATCAATTCTATCCAATGTTGGTTTATTTGCATATGTAAACGCTTTACCACACATTTTACATTTAGATGAAAGGATTAAATCGTGAAAATATTGATAGTCATCCATTGAAACATTATTTTTGGTATCTCTTTTCACCTTTTCATCTTGTTTCTTATATGATTCAATTTTATATTTCCAATACTTTTTCGTTAATTCAAAACTTGATTCCACATTTTCTTCTTCTGGATATGTTTCGTTAGGATTGAAGTTCTTATATGCTAACGCGTAACGAATCATTGAAGCATTCGATGATAAAGAAAGATTATGAAGCATGTCAATTTTATAAACAAATGTTTCTTCAATAATTTTATCAATTGGGTCAATCATAATTTCAACGTCTTTATTGCAATAATGAATAAAATATTCTAATCTATTCTCAAAATTTTTAGCATCATTGAGATATATTTGATAATCACTATCTGATATAGTTTCTTGAGTTAATGCTGAATAAAATGAATCTTGAGTGAATGGTTCCACTTTATATAATTCATCTTCGTAATTCTCCCATGTGATGAATTGATAAGGGAAAAAGGATTTAACACGTGTTTTATTGTTTCCGAAATCTTGAGTGAATTGGTCTAATGTTCCACCCGCTATATAATTTCTGATGTCAATAAATCGCAATTCATATGGAACGTTTGTTTTCTTTACAATGATTTGCTTAAATTGTGAAGAAGAACCCAGCATTGATTTTATCTTCCATTTTGCAGTATTTAAATCACGAAGAATTAAATTTAAATCAAACTTTCCCGAATTAAAACCTATGATATTCACTTTATTGAATTCCTCATCTAGAAGTTCTTTAAATGCTTCCTTCTGTTTCTCATTTAATGTATTCATTAATTCTTCATATTGTTCAATATTTGATTTAGCAACTAATGAACAGGTTGAAAATAAAAATTCAATCCAATCAGAGATGAACGAATCACTTGATGTTAAGCAAAAATTCCTTGTATATGTTTTATCGTTTAATTTAACCGTTGATGATACCATAAATGGTTTTAAGTAAGCGTTCAAAGTTGCACATTCAGAAAGTAGAAGTTCTTCTTTAGTCTCTAATGTTTCGAAGTCAAAAGTAATATAATATCTTGTCGGTTGATAATATTCCTGCAAATTATGTGCTAATAACCATTGATATATCTTCTGTTTCGTAATATGTGGTGCATATGGTTGTTGTGTGTTTTGCAATTGAACGTCTTGAATTAATCTTCCATTATTTTCTTTACATTTCTCACAATGTTTTAAAAATCTTCTTTGGTTTTTCCTTTCTGGATCATCACGGATAGAATATACTTCTTCTTTGCAAAAGGAGCAAACTTTATATCCTGTGAGTGCTTCAACGTCTGTTATTCTGTCAGCGTGAAGTTTTCCACATGGACTCTGTGTTAATAAAATATTTACTGTTTCAAATTCTGGATCTATCATTATTGATTCCACTAATGGAAAGTCTACCTTATTTATGTCCACGTCTTCTGGTTGAGGGTCACAATAATAGAAATCAATATTAACGTTTAACATTCTTGCTAATCTCTCACTTTCTGATGAAATGTCAAATCCTTCATATGCATCTATGGCTTCATTTAAATAACTTCTACGAGTTTTAGGATTCACACCATCAGGAATGTTATAGAAGCGTTTAAATAACCTTCTACCTTCTGCTCTAATTTGATTATCATTCATTTTAGCCGTTCCGTTTTTGTTCATTTATGTAAGAATAAAAATTAAAAAATAAAGTTTATTTTTTTAAAGTCTGAGACTCAGAGAGTCCAGGGCTAAAGTCCATAAAATGAATTAAGAACACATAAATTTTTATCATCTGCGACATGACGAATACATTTTAATTTACTCAAGAATGTGTACCCTGATACATTAAATCTAATTCCTGTCTTATTTAATTTCACAACTTTGAAAAGGAATGTGTGAATAGCTATGAAATGATGACGAGATGATTTATGTGTTGCTTCCATTTTTTCTGAAATAAATGAATAAATATAATGTTTATAAGTTTTCATATCTTTTATGTTCTTAATAACGAATGGAATAGATCTTTCCACTTCGTCCTCCTTCGGAGCTGTTCTTTCATATGAAACATCAACGGTATCTTCAACAATGAAACCACAATCGCATAAAATTTTATATGTACCAATTGTTTCTTTTGATATTTTATCTAACAAATCAAAAACTTTATCAACACCTGTACATTTATTTAAATAATAATTTGTGTAAATATCATGGTCTTCTTTCTTAATCGTATTTGTTGCATATGTCACGTTTTTCAGTGCTTTTTTGAATTTTTCAGAATCAAGAGGAGGTGAAAGTAATATACATGGATAATCTCCATCGTCAATAAATTGTAACTTATGTTTATGAATAAATTTTGTGCCTTCTTCTGAAAGTGTTTCGTCAATATCACCATCTAATAAATTTTTAGTAGATTCCAAAAAGTAATTTTTATATCTTTCCTCATGTGATTTTTGAACTTCTGATTCTGAAGCTGGGATATTCATTAAATCCTCTACTTCATTTTCAGCATTTCTTAATTCTTTAATTTTTTCATCTATTTCATCTCTTAATTGTTCCAATTTCTCAATCTCATCGTTATAATATTCATCTTGTTTAATTTTTTCTTCAAAATATTCAGGAGGTGTTTCAAGGCTCTCTGAGCCCAGGTCCTCTGGACCATAAAGAGGAATATTCTCCTGTTTTTCAACTTTTTTGGGATATAAATATCTCATTATAGCCTTTTTAGTAATTGGTCCGTTATATTTAAATTCATTCAACAATCTGGAAAACTCTTTCACATTCTGCATATATGTTGGATAAGAACCGTCTCCAAAATTTTCTAAAATATTTTCTAATTCTGAATTAGTGAACTTTAAAGATTTCAATGAATTAGTTGTTATACTCATTTATTATAAAATAAAAGATAAAAAATATTTTTGATTAATAAGGAATTAATTTCATTTTATGTCTTATAATGTGCGCATATGTATTTAAAAGGCATTCATTGAATTGCTTTTCAATCTCTTTCTTTTTTTCATCTTCGAATATTATATCATTTTCATGTTCGAAGCTTGTAAGTTTGTTATCTTCAAATATTATATTAGTTTCATATATCAAATTATGATATCGGTCATATTCTTTTAAGTGATAAATAAATACAAAATTTACGGTTCCTTTAATTTTAAATTCAAAATTAATTTTACAACAGCTTTGTGGATCAATTAGTAAATCAATCAAATAATGTTCAAAATCAGATATTATTCTTTTTCCATACATTTTATATTAAATAAAAAATTGACACCATATTTGGAATCTATGCAAAAATATATTCTTTTTATTAATGGTAATATAGGAATTGTAGGAATAAAAATTTTTTATAAATTATTCATAAATTTTTAAAATCTGCTATTCAGAAGTATGTTCAAAAATCATTCAATTATGTGAGAATTCTTACGATTACAAAAAAGGTCACACAACCCGCACTCATATACTACTATTCATAAAAATTACAAGTTTCTGATGACAATTAGCTTAATTAAACCAGGTACAAGATTATATAATTGTATTTTCTATCCAATTATCCATATAATATCTTATCCAGAAAAAATAACATGATCAATACCAAATGATTTTTTAACTAGTAAATAAAGTATTTTCTTTACACACACATTGTATATCATAGTTTTTTTTTGGTTTCGCAAAACATCCAAAAACAAATATGCTATAAAAGTGACAATTTTAGCAAAACGAAACCCTTAACGGTAGTGTTTACTAATAGATGAATAGTATATAAATTCTATTAAAATGGATTTGATCCAAAAAATATAAAACCAAAAATAATTGTTATAATTTAAATGAAGAAGTAATTTAAAACGATTTTATTTATGATCAAATTTTATATATTTTTTTGGATCAAATCCATTTTAATAGAATTTATATACTATTCATCTATTAGTAAACACTACCGTATATTATTTTTTAAGCTATCTTATTTTTTGAACTTTTATTCAAATCTTTGGTCGCAAGAAGAATTGCATGATAAATAAAAACATTTAATCAAAGTCAATTTTATTTTTCATATTCAAATGGACTGAGTGTTAACATTTAACATTTTTTGCTAATTGTCGTCAAAAATTAGGCGTAAAGCAAAAATTGATATTTCATATGGTTTTATGATAGATAAGCATTATATTCCCACTCATTATATTCGTAAATTTTGAGGTTTATCCTTCGCTTTTAAGATCATTGAATTTGATTTTTATATAAAATAGTTATATATTAGAAAATAATATGAGTTTATGTGATATTATTTTTCAGAAGATTTCATTCTATATGCCTATGAAAAGTACTCTCAAAACTAACTTTTCCCTAATTATAATTAAATCTAGAATATTGTATTATGCTTAGTATTATTTCATTTTTCTCATTCAATTTAGAATTTACAAATGTCAAAAAATTGAGAGCTGTCACTTTTGATGAATTTCTGTTTATTACATTGTTGAAATATCTTTTGTGTTATGGTGCATTCATCTAGATAATTGTTGGAAATTTTGTGGTAGACAAAAATTTGAAAAGTGGTGGAAAAAATTTACCTGTCTTATTTTTTCAAAATGACTGGTGTAGGTATTGATCTTGGTACTACATTTTCAAGTATTGCATTCTTCCTCGAAAACAAAAACCAACCAGATGTTGTTGTAATTGACGGCCAACGCTCAATTCCTTCTGTTGTTGGTTTTGTAAATGGAGAAACAATTATTGGTCAACTAGCTAAAACTCATAAAGCAGAATATGAAAACCAAGTTATTTATGATACAAAGAGAGCCTTAGGCAAAATGTACAATGATCCTGTGATCCAAGATGATAAAAAGTCATGGCCGTTCCAAATTTCAGCAGATGAGAATGGGTATGTTCAGTATGACATTTCTGATGATGGTAAGACCATTCATAAGACTCCAGAATCAATTGCCGCCTTACTTTTGAATTTTTTAATGCAAAAATTGAACATGACTCAAACACAAAAGGTACAACATGCTGTCATTACTGTTCCTACCAGCTTTTCACGCATCCAGAAAGAGAAAATCCAAATTGCAGCCAAAGCCGCAGAAATTCAAGTTGTTTCCTTCCTTCCTGAATCATCTGCCGCCGCCATTGCATATGGACTTCTTAACAACACCGAGCAGAAGCTTCTCATCTTCGATTTCGGTGGCGGTACACTTGATGTCTCTGTAATCGAAATCAACAAGAATAACGAAGTCAAAGAGCTCGCTACAGCCGGCGACTCCCATCTCGGTGGTCGTAACATCGACAACAAATTGGCTGAGTACATTTTCGGGAAATTAGCGGAAAGTGGCAAGGATTACAGGAATAACAAGAAGGTATTATCTATTGTTCAAGATGCCTGTGAAAGAGCGAAGATTGCTCTATCAAACAAAGGTACAATTCGTGCAGATATTTCTTTCAATTTTAATCAAGAGAGCTACTCATATACAATCACTCGAAAGAACTTTGAGAAGATCAACGACGACATTTTCGACAAAATTCTACCTCCAGTTGAAGAAGCCCTTCGAAAGGCAAATTTGACTAAAGATCAAATCACAGATATCCTTGCCGTCGGTGGTTCCTCTCATATCCCAATCGTTAGAGAAACTCTTTCCGACTTCTTCGACAAAGATCCACTAGATTCGGGAATAGTCACCGACGAAGCCATTGCTATTGGCGCTGCCATCTACTGCAAGACAAAGCTCAAGGAAGGAGATGCACCTCTCGATTCCGATTCAGAATTTCTCACAAAACTCTCTGAATCTAGTTCGGACGACGAAAATGACTTACCACCACCAAGACCAGCTCCGAACCCCGTCAACACTACTCCTGCCTTCGCAAAGCCTCCTCCTGCAAGACTTGGAGGACAAATCGCACTGAAAGTCGTCAACAAAGTTCCTCATACTATATATACAAGGGATGTGATGGATACTACGATGTTATATTTAAGAAAGGCAGCGATATGCCTGCTACAACGAATTTGAGCTATGGAATGGCATTTACAGATAATGGAGAAAGTTTCCATGTTTTGGAAGCAGTTACAATCGAAATATTCGAAGGAAATGATGATCCGAAGAATCCAGAGTATAACTTGATTAAGAGATACACATTCACTCTTCCTAAGGATGTCCAAGGAAAACAAGAAGCAACAAAGGAAACATACAACATAGATGCTGCAGGAAACCTTAGTGTAAACTTCAAATTCCAGTTGAGTGGAAAGGAATACAAAGGAAACGTGGAGAAAGATGCACTGTTCCACAACGATGAACAGTTCAGAAATATGATGCATGATGTAAATAGACTAATGAAGCAGGAAAAAATCAATTTGTAATTTATGAGTAAAAAAATTATTTTATTAATCTATGTATATTCATTTATATGCTCTTATATCATTATGGAGAGTATAGTAATAAAGATATATCAAACCAATTGATCTCTTCTATAAAATATTTTGATAATAACTTTTTAAATGTTTTTAAATGTATGGAAATGTGTGAATTGCTGCTTCTTATGAAGCTTATTAATATATATTGCTTGCATATAAAGTGTGTCTTTACGATATTCTCATGAGAACTAAAATTAATATAATTTATCACTGTATGAATGAATAATATTCTTCATTTGACAGTATAATGTGTGTCATGAAAGCATATATGCCCACATTCTTCTATTATTCATAAAAGTTATCTGAATTATATCATTTTAAGGGTATTTTTGATTTACTTTATAACTTTAATCGAGATAACTGTTCGAATTATCATTTTGGAATTCTTTGTGAAGCGTGTTTAACTAAAATGAAATCAGATCTAAGCAAGGTGTTTGATCATTGGTCGTTCTTGAGATTGGAACTCGACTAGCCTATTGATTTTAGTCTTTTAAGAAGAGCGTGAAAGTGAAAAAAATATTCCCTACATCATTCTTTCTGAAATTCTCAGAGAAATATCGGATCATTTATGCTATTTATCTGATCAAGATTGTATCTATAACCTCCAATTAATGTCATTTATTTTCAATTGACCTTGAAATAAGGCTAATTTTTTTTCAATAAAATTTTCAATGAAGTTGAGCACAATTTTACAAAAGAAAGCTCCAGGTACAACGGTTCGAGCCACTGCTCAACTCATTGAATGTATAGATAGTGTAGACAGAAACTTTCAGAATTGCACTGATTTGTTTCTTTCGAATAATTTGATAAAAGACATTTCCAAAATAGTGCAGTTCTATAATCTATCAAGATTAATGATAGAATTCAATCAAATAACACGCACAAATGATCTACAGCCTCTGAAAAAGCTTGCAAGACTCACTGAGTTAAAAATTTTAGGGAATCCGATATGCAACTATCCTTTATATGAATCATACTTGATATACTGGTGTAAGAGATTAACATCCTTAAACGGAAAGCAAGTAAATCGCGAACAAGAAAAAAAATGCTGTTTATGATATCGAAATTTCGAAAGATATTTACTATTCAACACTTGTTTTGCAAATACTTCATATCAAGTCCTTGAATTTGGATAAAGACAAAACAATTTCAAAAATTATTCAAATTCTCAACCAAAGCAAAGCAGAAACATTCAGAGATCAATTAGAATCGAAATCGCCTAAAGACATCAAACAGTACTTTGAATACGTAAAAAAGCTCGTAACTCAAGTCCAAAACCAAATTTCAAAAATTATTTCAGGATCAAACGAAGATTTTGCATATGATCATATCGACAACTTACCAATATTCGATGTAGCTCAAGATTTACAGTCATTATCCGAGATTTGTCAAAAACAAATCGTAATTGATTTAAATTTAATTGGAATCAACAATGACAAGCCATTTACTGAATCTCTACTTAAAGCTGCTCGCCAGAACAAAGGAGTTCTTACAATTCTTAACGATTTCATGAGAATTGCAAAACAATACCAAATCTTAAGTTCTCTTAAGAAGAAAAAGAAGGCAATAGTTAAGAATGCAAGAAAATTGTTCAGATACCACGTAGCAACAAAAGAAATCAATTTCAGAAAAATGAGACATAATATCAGGATGCAGACACATTTAGATCCATTAATTAGGGCCAAACTTGAGAAAGATCTTGATAAAAAGATCACCGATGCTCTGAAATACCATAAAACTAAAGTAATTTTTAATCCAAACGGATTATTAACAAAAGCGATCAGTAGAGAGAAAATACCGAATGATATAAAGATGCAAAGGCTTAAGAAGCGATTAGAGTTCTTAGAAGAGTTCAAAGCATGCGAAAACAGAGGATTATCTTTTGAAAAACAATTGAAGCAAGAAATCAAGTCACAACATAATGGTGATGATAGTTTACCAACTAATTCGGCTTACGATGACCTTCTTGGCCTTGGATCTCCAAGAAGAAGGGAAATTAAAAAGATTCCAAAGAGAAAAAGGAGTTCTCAAGTTATTGAAGCTCCTCTTAATCTTCTTGATCCAAACTTGGCACAGCCAGACCAAACACAGCAGATTCAAGACCTTGCATCAGAAGTTTTGAAAGGATTTACAGAATTTTCACAAGCATTGGAAAATCAAGTACCTTCAGTTCAACTTGGTCCCATTCCAAGGCGTTCGGAGAGGTCACACAGCTTTGTTCAAGGAAAACATAATTCATTGGACTCAAAAATCGAACATCATGTACAAAGGAAATGTCCTCTGCCTTCTGTACCTCAAATAAATACAAATACTGTCTCAAATTCGGATAGTTTGTCATCAACTTCATCATATGTCAGTAGTGATCAGTTTGTTAATGATTTCCTCAATAGCCCTAGGCCAGAAATCAAGAGAAGAAGAAAACAATTATCGAGTATCTCTTTGGAATCTCCTCCACCCGAAATCCTCACATAGAACTGATTTGCGATGCGTTTATTGAAATTCTAAGCTTGAGTAATTCATGTTTATGGTTTTGTAATTAGATTTTTACCAATTTTTCGAAGTTTTATTGATATTGTTGTTTTATTCATAAAATATTTGTAATTATAACCAAAGTTTATTTTAAATTCAAAATCTATTAACAATGAGGATATGTTTTCTGAAATAATATTCTTCCTAATGAAGTTTTACAATCAACCTCTCAAAAATGTAAGCTGAAAAAATAACGTCGTAATTTTGTTTGGTTCAGAATACTATAGAATATGATATTATTGCGAAATTTTGAATACAGTTTTTTGAGTGACCAATTTTCCCAATAATATGATCTATTAGTATTGTAGTTAGATAATCTATATGAAGTGTAATGTTTCAATTCATTCAATATAAAAAAAATTCTGAAAAGAAAACTGTAATCGATTCCTTTACATTTATATACTTATCAATAATTTTAATTTAAAAATATTGAATTTAACACAATTTATTTGAAAAGAAATTTTAAATAGTATATAATTCTCATTAAAATATGGTAAATATTACATCTTGACGTATAAACTATTCTATCAAATAATTGAGAGTGGTTATGAAAATTGCTAATTATACTATTATTATCCCGAAGCAAATGTCATTTTAATTTTTAAAAATCAACAAAAATGTAATCAATTTAAATTTCATCTTACAAAAGCATGTTTTGGGACTCGTTTCTCCGCAGCTTTTATGAGATATTTTATGAAATAAGGCTTCGTACATTCATCCCATATTGGGTCAGATGGATAAAGAAAATCATTATCATGCTTCAAATGGTGATTTTTACACTTGATTTTTGCAATCTGAACGATTTTTATGGTGAAGAGCTATCAACATTCAGGACACTAAACAATATTTTCCTATTCAGTCCATGGTTAGTACAAGATGACAATGCTTTGTTCATTTTATCGGTAAGTTTACTATTACATGGAATATTTATCGGCATTTTCTACATCTTTGCATTAAAATGTAAGCAGCATGTATTCATCAAAAAGGAAATACTTACTATTTCCGTGTTTTCATTGATGTAATTTTTCCATTGTTCCAATATGAACAATTCTTTCTTTTCTCTGAAGTTTTCATAAAGTTACTTGAACAACCAAGCATTTTCTTGACAATTGCACTCCTTCTTATGGGCTGTGAAGTTTGTATTTACGCATTGTATGATTACATGGCATCTATCTTCATAAGACCTTGTCTTTTCACAATAGAATCTATTATCGAGCGTTATTCCGGTGTAACTGACCAGATTTTCTATTGGTGCAAATTTTCTTCCTTATTCGTCCAAGTTTATCTTTCGAACAGGTACCATTACCTTGTAGAAATCATACTATACTGTTTGCTACTGTTTGCAATCATCTACGTGATCTGCGCAAGAGTTGGCCGAGGAATTCACGTAACGATCATTGGCGCATTGATGGAAGACGCTCCGTTGATTATACAACCATTAGTTCTTCTCTACCACCTGCATAGAAGATGGCCAATGGCTCCTCTTGTTGTATAATTATCTTGTTTTATCAAATACGTTATTTTTTACAAGATTTACACGCACGCGATATCCAGATACGCCACTGATATCTTCCATGAGAACAATCAGCTTCCTTGGTGGCTTCCAACAAATAATTCTCTTATTATGAGGATAAATGCACAAACAATTGGCAACATCGATGCCTTTGAAGAGTTCCTGAACGTAAGAGTCGATAATCATCCAGATGAATTGTTAGAAGTCGTAAGATTTTTGGGAATTTTCCCTTCTTACAGATCTCCCCTCATTTTTATATTATCGAAGTGGAATTCCCAAAACATATATTACGATTTCCAGGCTTATTCGTTCCTAACTTACCTCAGATCGATAAATGAAAGTCCGAACCCTTTATATACGGACATCCTTGATGATCTGCACAGAAGATATCTAGTTAATGTATCTTTGTACTGGCAGAATCGCGTAAATTCAAATTATTACCAAACATTTAAATCCGCAGTTAATGCAGGGATTTGCTACAAAGATTTGACATCGTATATACTGTATCTGATCAATATGTATCCATTAGATCCACAATTAAGGCAAACTTACGCAGAAATTTCTCTAATTGCGCTTGGAGAACCGAGTTTGTCCGCAGAATCAAGAAGATTGGCCGCAGCGTTACGTGATTCATCAAACATCGTTGATGATCCACTTCTGAAGAAGATTGGACCAATGTTTCCCATAGCAAATGAGATTTACTCAAATTCTCCAAAGAATTCTTCCAACGAACAAAGCAGCGGTGAATCCACAGCCAGTCTAAACAACATGCAGCAGTCACTGATGAGGTTCCACGTCGAGAAAACCGTGATTTTCAGGGAAGACGGAAGTCAAACGAGTCCTACAGCGATGTTCGTCCAAAAGAGCTTCAGATTGCAGCCAATGGGATTCGTATTGAGTTTGGTGCTGATTATTATGTGGTCAGTTAGTTTTGTGAAGTATTCTTCGAATAGAAAAAATTATATTTATCATAATTATGATTTTATCACTAATATCATATCAGATAGCATTGGATTGTCGAATAACCTCACAGCTGCTGTGTTTTGGCCCGGTTTCGTCGATTCTCTCAAAATTAATTTTTCAAATTTGTCAGAAAAAGAATGTTACTCGAAAATAGTTGGATTATACGAATCAGTATATGAATATGTTACATCTCTTCGCTTGGATTTCCTTGTAACTTCAAAAGTTCTTGTTTATTCAAACAAATTTTTGACAACACAAACGATAACTCATAATAATCGTTGTGAAGCACTTAATTCTATTGTTATGAGCTCATACAATTTCTCTGCTTCAATTTTGGACGATTTACAGCATAAAAACGATTATTTAGTGAATCTTTCATCAAACATCAACTCAAAATTGGAAGGATTGTTCCATTGTGACAGGTTCATGCTGTTAATGTTGTTCTACGCTCTAATTGGTGTTGTTATCAAGTGTTTCTTGTTTAATTTTGTTATTAAATACGGTGAAAAGTGACTTACCTAAGAAAGCCATGGAATTTTTGGGATCTAAAGAGAGACTTGGACTGTTACTTCTCAAGAGATCGATAGAAAGTTGGGATTTGTTCAGAGCAATCTTTCCTATTGAAAAAGGAAACGGAAATGTATTAGAAGAAATGGAAAACAAGAAGAAACCGAGGATGAGAGTTGCAAAATATCCATCAGAAACTGTAATCAAGGCTTCAAATCAAAGTCATCATATAGATTTAAAGGATTCGAAGCTTGCAATCTCGTTTATAGGTGTTGATGATATTCTTAGACCATCAGTCTTTGGTTTAATGAGTCCGTTTATTAGTACTTCTTCAACATCTCAAATTTCTAGTTCAGATATGTCTGAAGGATTCGAATTTTCTACTGGCGGAACACCTTTTAGTGCTGTAAGCAGTGCAAATAATAGTGAAAAAGATATTGTTATTCAAAAAGAAAGTTTAAATGGTTTAGAATTGGTTTCTTCAGCTGAAGAAATGACAAAGAAGAGCCAATTATGTCCTTTGTATTCTATAACGATTACTTCTGTATTGCCATGGTCCGTTCTACTTCTTCTTTTACTTGCTGCTCAAATTATCACTCTTCAAAGGAATATATTGATTTCTACTAAGACGAACATGATCTCTGAGAATTATATGAACTTGAATTCAATGCTTTCTTCTATAAAAAGCGCTTTGGAGCCGGAAAATATTTCTTATTTCGATTTTACGCTGACAAAAACATTGTCAGACTACTCGAGAGGCTTAGAAAGGTTGTATTCAGTAGCATGCAACTTACAAGGCCCGCCATTAAGTAGTTACGTCGCATTTATGATTAATGCAGTCTTATTCTTTTGGTTGGTCATGTACAGTATTATCCAATACGAGAAGAGTATTGTTAAAGGAATCAGCTCGCTCTTCCATTTCCCTTACGGATATTTAGACGATTACTTTAAGCCACATGATAATCCTCCAAAGGAAAAGTTGTCCGAAAAGATCATAGAAGTCAGCATATTCGAAGACAATGGATATATCAGTGACATTTCCCACAATTGCCAGCAATTGATCGGATTAAATCCTCTGGAAGTTATCGGCAGAAAATTCAATGACTTGTTCCCCGAGGAATATTTAAACGTTCGCTCATTCAATTGTGTGAACAAGAAAACTAAGAAATTTATATCGAGTTCATTCAATAGCGGTCATATTTTGAAGACAGCACTACTCGATGAGACTTTAATTGCTACTTCGGCAACAAATTACCTTGCGCAATTGACAGAACATATTCCATTATTATTTGCCAAGAATTTGTGTGATAAAGGTACTCATCAGTATAAATATGATGATGCTATTGTTATTGTTGCCTATTTCGATTCCAAAGACTACAAAACTAACACTGATCACTTGTTTTCTGCTGCTCATCATATGTTACAGTGCTATACAACAGTGTCAGTGCTCGGATGCAACGGATCTTACATGGTTTTCGTATGTACTGACAAGGATAAGTCAATTCCAATAACATTAGTCAGAGATTTCGTAAATGAATCGAAACCATTGATCACAAGAACCAGAGAATCAACACAAAGAGTATTATTATCAGTAGTAATGTCCAAACAGTCTCTATCTGCTAATTTAAGCAACGATGGAGAATTACATCTTTCTCTCGACTGCAAACGCAGAGATGTCATGAAGGAAATAGCTCTTGCAGTTGAACCTTGCTCATTTGTAGTTATTGATGAATGTAGCAAGTTGTACGGTGCAAATTTAGTTGAAGAAACAGAAATAATGCCTGGAGTGATGGGAAGAAAGATTCCATTCTCTTCCATAGACAAATTAGTCCAAGCATTATAATGTTTTATATGTATTTGTTATGTTTTTTTATAAATTATGTTATGTATTGTTTTATTTTTATTGATTTTTATAATTTAACTACCAAACAATGACTATGCAACAATAGATCATCTCTATTTCAAATATCTTAAAGTCTGAAACCTAAATTTCAACAAAACATCAAAGCAATTTTCGAAAAAATGACCGGATTCTGCATAAATAAATTGGAAAATCAAAATAAAAACATGACGTCATATTATATTTTCTCTATGAAATCATTTTAATAGGTATTGGTAAATCTAGAGGGTGTCCAACCAAAATAACCTTAAAATGAATTTTACCTTTTTGAGTTTTTCTTCATATTCAGAGGAAGTAGAGAAAAGTTTAAACGGTAAATACATGCGAATGCATATCAGCATTATGCTCGAGCTGGATTTGTATATTTTTCTTTTCGTAATTTGAATAAATTCGAAAAATACTGATTTATAAAATTATAATAAGAATTATAATTTACATTAAATATCTGATAAAATAATAAAATAAAAATGATGATTTTTTGAATCAAAAAATTGAACGATGATTTTTTCAAATTATTATATTTATTGTAAATAACGACAACTGAAGGTGAGATATTGAATATTCATGATTGGGAATAAATGTTCAATTTTGAGATTGAGTTGAGATATCATATTAAAAATTTATTTAAAAGGTTAACATATAGCTTAATGATATGTAATATATACATATTATGAGATATGCATATTTAAAAGGGGTATGATCGTTGAAAATGGTATGATTCCTAATTTAATCGGTAGGAAAATATTATGAAATTAAATAATTAAAAGAATTTCAAATAACTTCTATGTGTGGTATTAAAAGTATCAATATATAGCAAATATAGTAATTAAGGTTTAAAGAAAACAGGGGACACAATTAAACATCTTATATTAATAATAAATTGAGAGCATGTCAATATCTCATAGTTCAATTGGTTTTCTGGTAAAAATGGATCGGTAAAGGTTGCAAGTTTGATTGTGATCAGCGTTTTTTTTAATTTTGAACGATAATAAGATTGTGAATAATAGATAATAGCAACCAAAACATAGTTCGAAAATTTACCTAAAATGATAGAGTATGGTAGGAAGTACATACCCAGGTATCTAAAATATCACCTAAAAGCGCTCTTAATTTATGCCAATTGGCATAATAAAGCTACAATTAGAATGCTGACATGATGAAGAATCATTATGAATCATAATTGGCCAGTATGATACAAGATTTAAGAAATCTTAGAGATTATCTGATTTCATGAAACACAGTGATTACTAAGTTTCAGACTTTGAAATTTTAACATGTTGATATGGGTACATAGGATTTATGATTCCAGTCATTTATTTAAAAAATTAGGAATAAGAATTAATATGATGTGAGTAACATTGGTAATAAATGCTTAATTACTAATATATTATTTCTTGGTAGAAATTAAATGTTTTGGTGGCATTTATAGAAGTTAAGCTGAGAATCAAAAATGCAAAATTTAATTTATTTTCGTGTATCTATATGGGTACACTAAGTTATTGATGTATATATGAAAGAATCATGAAAATGAATTGTGAATCTCAATATTAGTTGTGTAATGCTGCGTCATATTTTGAATTCAAAATATCCATAATGTTGATAAATGTATTTT